AAAAAAAAAAAAAAAAAGATTGTATGTGAAATATATCAGCATGTAGTTAGCAAAGAGGAAAAATATGCATTCATTATATAAAGACACTTGTGAAAATGTATAAATTTCTAAAATTTAGGAAAATTTCTCCCTTGATAAATTGCTGTTCTTCTATTAAGAGAAATCAAAATACTTACAATCCATCATGTTTGCCCTTCTGCCTCAGCTATCATGATGCACAGAAATAACATTTATATTTTGTTTCAATATTTTTCCTTAGAATAAAATTCCATTTGATTTTTTTCTTTTTTCTTCATTATTACTTGACTTTTTAACCATATTTAAATGATTTTCAGTCATACAGCATCTGTGGTATTGTTTAAAAACTACATCAAATTGTCTTTGGATACATATCAACAATGTATATCAAAATAATAACAACCGATTCTTTAGAATTTCTGGCATATATTTATGACTCTACATAGAAAAAAATCTTTGACTTCTACCATCATCATACTGAAATATAAAATATAGTAAGAGTGGGTATTTTTAGGATATTTAAATTTGGCAATCTTTGAATAAGGTCAAGTGTATCACATAGTTACAAATTCTACATAATATATATTCTGGTAGAACATTTTTCTTACAATTAAGATTGTTAAGAGAATAGTTTCATTGACTTCATTTATTCCATTGTTCAGATGTTCAGTGTTGCTCATATCGATAAAGGAGAGCTGGCAAATAAAAACAAGGATTAAATGGAAGTTTCTCTGTTTTATTAATATAAAATTTACACTTAAATATTCCTATATTGTACTTGATATTTCACTAGGCACCAGTGAATAATTCATAAATTGGGGGAAAAAAGATTCATTCTCTGATGCTAAAATCTGTTGTTAATGCTGACATCCTTCCTTGGTTATAACCTCCAACATTTTTTGTTTTCCAACTCAGTGTAGTAGGGATTTCCAAGTTTCTTTTTAGTGGGAGCGATGAAGTATCAAACTGTGAAGTAGACAAGGTTTGTCAGCAGTTCCTGCAGCTGGTCAGGGGTGCTTGGTTTCTCCCAGAAGCTCTTAGTAACCTCATGCTGCCCATTCCTTACCAATCACAGCCCCAGAGAGCAATTCATTCACACTAAGCAGTATGCAATCAGTAAACACAATATGTTACATCTTCCAAGTCATCCTATATTTTAGGAAAAGATAGATTTTACCACAATAAGAATTTTGGATATTCATCAAAGTTGAAATGGGAAACTTCTGCATTATGGTAAGACTGATTCTCCTCGAGTGTTTTGTAACAATGGAAAAGTTCTAGTCCTTTTCCATAATTCCCTCTGGAATTCCTATACCAAGGATGAGCTTCCCGCTGCTTTCTACATAGATTTACCGTCCTCTTTATGAGTATGAATACTGGTCTTAGTGAATTTGAAACTCTCAACTTTATACAGTTTTAAAATCTTGTTTTCATAACTTAACAGCATTGAATAATATCTAAATTTCACATAATGTCTCTGTCCCTTCTTTGGGCAAAGATTATTGTAATGGGCTACATGGTCAAGACCAGTGAGACACGGGATAACATTGCTTACCTCTATCAAATACATGAAAAATCCAATAAAAGTGTAGGAAGGTATTAAAATCATGCATGAAATTATGCTGGGATTTCCCCAACGATCTGCTACCATGGAGATGAGTATAACTACTGAGATCTAGAAGAAGAAAAAAATCCAGAGTATTATAATTATCTCAGTCCTATTTACTATTTTAAGATATTTTCTATGAATAATCAGTTTTCCCAGGAGATATTCCCATTTTCGATTTTAACCTCATATACAACGTTGTTAGGATTTCTCCTTTAGGAAGCGTCAAACTATCATTACAACTGAAACACGTGGGCTTAAAATAAGTCTGACATAAATACCTTTATTCTAATCCCTCTTCCTTGTTCCCATAACAATGGAGGAGAATGGGAAATACAAAAGAAAGAGGAAGAGTAAAAGAGTTGGTCTTGCTCCCTTTCCCACACTGATCCCCAAACTACAGGGCCTGCCTGAGATGCGTGCGAGAGGCAAAGAAGAGTTTTACACTGCTTATGAGATGAAAGTTATACTATATGGACTCGAGGGGCCATTTTTTGTTGCTATTGTTCTGAAAATGAATCTAAATTAACAAAATGAGACTATTTTAATATCTGAGATGATTAAAAAGCTATATTATCTACTCAAGTATCCACAAGGGGTAGGGAAGGAGATGCAGTAGTTTCTCTGAAGGAACAAACAAACAAATCCATCTACCCATCCATCCATCCATCCATCCATCCATCCATCCATCCATCCATCCATCCATGTTTATGTGTTTGTTTATATAATTCATTAGTCTAGATGGCTACCTACTATACTTGTTTTTTTAAATAAGGGGAAATATTTAGGGGGAAAACCTCACTGGGGTCAGTTATTCCTGCCCTCTAATGTAGGGGACTGCCCTAAGGGATCTTGTTTTTCAGCTGTGACATGCCAGGATTCCTACAGATATTTGCTTCTTTCCAAAGAAAGAGAGGTGTATAAAAGAAATCTTAAAGAACAAAACAGAATGAGGGAATGAAAATTACCCAAAAAAATCTGAAATGATGAACATGGTCCAACATTAATGGAGTTACAAAACAAATAACTTTATTCTCTTCTAAGGAATGTACTTATACCTAACTTTGCATTTAAAAAAAATGAACTTCAAGAAAATTTAATATAAATGTACATGTGGAGATTGTGTATATCTATATCTACATATTTACATCTATACTTCCTGCTGGAAAAAAAAAATTAACTCATTGCCTTAAAGTTGATTCTAACTCAGAGCTACACTATAGGACAGAGTAGAGCTCTGTTTCCAAGGAGCGGCTGGTGGATTTGAACTGTCGACCTTTTGGTTAGCAGCTGTAGCATGCTGTAGCTCTTAACCACTGTGCCACCAAGTCTCCATCTATAGCTATATCTATATCTGTATCTGTATCTATATCTATAACTATATCCTGTTGTCATTGAGTCGATTCCAACTCATAGCGATCCTATAGGATAGAGTAGAACGGCCTCACAGGGTTTCCAAGGAGCAATTGGTGGATTCGAACTGCCAACCTTTTGGTTAGCAGCCTAAGCTCTTAACCACTGCACCACGAGGGCCCCATCTAGATCTAGATCTAGATCTATACACACACACACGTAGAGAGATATTTACAATAAAAAAGCCAAAAGACCAGAGGCCATTATTTTTTCTCGCCTTGCAAAAAATGAATGAAATCACGTATGTGAGGAATATAAGAGAAGCTACACAACCAAATATGCAAACTACCTGCAAAGAACAGGAAATAATAGCAAGATTAGGGATGGCAGGTCATGTATAGGGTGAGGGGTGAGGGAAGAGAATCAGGTCATAAAGCCAACACGGACAATTTTCTTGCATATATATGCCTTTTGTTAATGACAAAACATTAATGAAAATGAATTTTCATTTTGATCCTATTATTAGATTTGGCCTGGAGTTAGGGGTTGGGGGGCAATGATCACTTACAAGAGCAAATATGAGTCCCCTTGAAATTGTGTTTTCTGAAAATATGAAGTACTGAATTAAAAATATTGAAAGGAGTATCAAATAGTGTAATGGGATGTCCACCAGAGCTTGTCCGCACCAGTATGCTGAAGGGTAGAGGCCTGAAATCCTCAACTGGGATTGAGCTTTTCTCTGTTAAATAAAGAAAAGGGATACATGAGAGATGGAAATCTTAAGTTGAAAAGTATTTTGGTTATGTGAAAATATTAATTTTTAATACATTTTGAAAGTATTTTATAGTAGCACCCAATTTTTTGGTCTATTTTACTTCATGTGATGAATTTGAGTTTCAGTAACTTTCTAGCCCAGGTTTAGAGAAGCAGGCTTCAGGACAATTAGTACTGTCCCAAAGAAAATAGTACCTCAGTGATCAGAAGCACAAAAAGCAACCCCCGAAGTATCTGTTGCTAAAATAGGAATGTATGGCCATTGGCTCAACAGGAAGAGTCTGACCTATTTGTAAAGCTGATTTACACTTTGATATAGATAAATGTAAGGTTATGCAGCTTGAAAATGGCACAGTCAGAATTCGAGCCCAAGCAGAGTGGCGGTAGAGCACATACATGGACTGGATACATTACTATGCACAGAGAATAAATTCAGACCCCTCTCCTGTTTCCTGTACCTGACATATGTTGGGGTTTCTCATCTCCTGTGGAGAATATATATTTTTTAGCTCAGAGATTAGGTAGAAAGTGTATGTCCTTACTCTTCTCTGGGGCAGTAGGTGAAGTTTTTCTAGTCTCTATTTCTAGCACTGAACAGTCCTGCGAAGCTTCTGGATTCATGAAGGGATATTACTTCCAGGTTTCCAGCTTGTCCAAGCTCAATTCCTGGCCACAGGGACATTAAAACACTCAGAGGACTGTGTCTGAGTCCAATGTTTCCTTGGACAGACAGTGGCAGAAAAACCACCCACAGCTTGGTTTTAATTTCCCTTTCTATTTTTAACACCTGGAATATGCCTTCCTTTTTCTCTGGGTTTCTTCCATTGTTTTTTTACCATCCTCTTTCTTTTTTTAAAAAAAAAAGTTTGGCTGTATACCTGAACTTCTATTTTGCATGTATTTTATCCACTATTTTCATGTGCTTCTAGTTGGAGGCCAGGCACTTCTTTATCATATTAGATCACCATTTGTGGGGAAATATTTAGGCTTAAATAAGAAAAAAAGCTTCAGAAGAATGAAAAATGGATCAGAATAAGGAAATCAAGAACGAGGAAGACGACGCATACACAAGAAACCATGTTAAGAAGTGAAACGAGTAAAATCTAGTTAATCTCAATAATTACTGACATTGTAGCAATTGTGAAATTGTGAGTTTTAATGCAACTGGAAGAAAGGCAGGGTAAAAATGATTCCTCAAATAGAATATATAAAATATAAAACAACTATAATGACAAGAAAAATTCATAAAAACCTGAGCTACATTGCAGGTGATTTAAAAAAACAACTTAGAATTTTATTTAGTTGCATGTTGGACCATTGTGATTTATAGGGTTTATTGGCTGATTTTTGAAAGTAGATCATCAAGCCTTTCTTCCTAGTCCATCTTAGTGCAGAAGTTTCCCTAAAACTTGTTTAACATCGTAGCAACATGCAAGCTACCACTGAAAAATGGTTGGTAGATGCTCATGAGGTGCGTTGTGTGGGCATATGTTCCTTATGCCTTTAAAATTGTTGTTTTTTAGCAGTTGTAGCTTCATCTTCGGCTATATGGTATGGCTCTCAATAAAGCACATTTTAACGGCTTAATTTTGGAATACAGAAAACATTCTCAATTTTTAACAGCCACAATATCTTAAACAACTGCAAAATCTTCACATACTTGATGATTTCTGAATCCTGTTAGCAATTTCTGTGTTCATTAGGCTTCTCTAGCTGCATAGAATAGACTCACATGCGCTGAGGTAATGAGACGCTTGTATCCAAGGCATATCCAAGAATAAGGTCAGGACTACAAGAGATAACTTGAAGGTCATTGTGGACACAAGGTAGCCATAGGGACTCCCATAACCAGAGTTTGTGAAACATCACTAGAGTACTCCCCCAATAATAGAGGCTCAGATTCTTGTTCTACTGTGTTTATCATTGTGTATAATCTCACTTCTTCCCCTATTGACTGGCTACCTCATCTGCTGCCTGATACATCTTTCCTCAACCTCTTCCTTCTACTTCCCAAAACTTTTGCTGCTAGATTTGACTTACACCCTGGCTTATCACATCCTTCCTGCATCATTGCTTCTCTCTGTGCATCCTTTTAACTTTCTCTGTATTTTTCAGGTCAATTTCCAGAGCCAAAGGTTGTACTTACCTTTGTCCCTGTTTGAACAGAGCTTTTGCAACCAATAAAGCAGGCTGAATGCTCTGAGGTTTTGAGCCTGTTATAGATTGAATTGTGTCCCCCAAGGACACATGTCCTAGAATGTTCACCAAGGACATGGCTACACAATCTTCTGTTAAAGAGATTAGGCCTGTGACTGATGGATGTAACCAACTACCACAGCAGAAAACGCATCAGCTGAAGGGCACAGAGAAAGAACGAAAGAAAAGAATGCTGTCTGCCTCTTGGAATTTTATAGGTAGGAGACAGGCCAAAGGAGCTACATCTGTTGTCCTCCAAGAAAAGAAAAGGACCATTCCTGGAGCAGGTCAGAGATCAGCAGAACTGTTGGAAGGAGCACGGGAAGCAGGGTCTTCTTGGTTTCAAAGGGTGGGGCCACAATCTTGTGGATCTCAAAGAGTGGGGTCACAGCCTCCTAGGTTTCAAAGAGTTGGATTTTACCCAACTCAGTTTCTGAGTGTGAGGCTGCCATTAAGATGTACCAGGGGAATGGGGCTGCCACCCAAAGCTGAGGGGTCGGGACTGCCATGCACAAGGGGTTGAAGAATGGGTCCTGCTGGGGCCGAGGGCATGAGGTCGCTACTCAGATGGACTAGAAGAATGGGGCCGCCCAAAGCGGAGGGAGCAGAGTGGTTATTCCAGATGGCCTGGAAGGCAGAGCTGAAGCCCAGGGCAGAGGGGCTTCCACCCAGAATACAGAGGGTGTGGCCATCTCTCGGAGTCTGGAGGGCAGGGCCATTGCCCAGATGGTCTCAGTGAAGAGAGGATTATTTTCAAGCCTTGAGAGCTAATGCAATTTGTTCTGTTATGTTTTGGACTTCCTTGGTGCCTGTTATCCCTTCTTCTCTCCAATTTCTCCCATTTGTAATGGAAACGTCTACCTTGTGCCTCTTCCAGTATTGTACTTTGGAAAAAGATAACTTGTAGTCTAGATTTTATAGGATCACAGATGAAGAAGAATTTTGCCCGAGGATGGAATACACCTAAAGTCTCACTCATATTTGATTTAGATAATTCAGAAGATGAGATTTTGGATTTGGAGTTGATTTAAGACTTTTGAGATGATGTGATGGGGTGAATGTGTTTTGCATTTGGGAAGGACATAAATTTTAAGGGGCCAAAGGGTGGAACGTTTTGGATTAAATTGTGTCCCCCAAAAATACGTGTTGTAAATCCTAACCTGTATATAATCTCATTTGGGAATGGGTTGTCTTTGTTATGGTAATGTGGCAAGATTAGTGTAGGGTATGTCTTGAATCAATCTCTTTTGAGATATAAAAGAGATTAAACAAGTGAGCAGAGGACAGATTGAGTAAAATAGATGCCAAGACACATAGAGATCTCCAATGAACCAGAATGAAGAAGCTGAAGACACAAGAACCTTCTTCCAGAGCTGACAGAGAGAGAAACCCTTCTCCTAGATCCAGCACTCTGAATTTGGACTTCCAGCCTCCTAAACTGTTAGAAAATAAATTTCTTGTTTGTTAAAGCCGTCCACTTGTGGTATTTCTATTAGGCCATATCCGACTTCGGTGAATTCCAAATGTAATCACTTCTGAGTTACAAAAAGAGCAGAACTGATAAAGAGACACACACAGGGCGAGAGGAAGTGAGAGACTAGGGAGGGAAATGCATCTACAAGTATTACTGGAAAATACTAGAAGCTGAAATAGACCAGGAAGGGCCTCACCCTAGACCCATGCTGTGAATTCCGATCTCTAGCTTCCTGAACTGTGAGAATATTAATTTCTGTTCTCTAAAGCTAGCCACCTGAGATAATGTGTTACGGCAGCACTACATCTACATTTAAACCTACATCCGAGAACTTTGTAGTAAAATTTCATACACCGGAGGCTAAAGGGAATAATCCTAAAATATCCTAAAGAGTAAAGCAAAATACTTCAAATTAATGAGAATCCAAATTATGTCAGCAAAACTAGATGCAAGAGGGCAATAATAGACTGCTTTTAAAGTGAGTAATTTAGGATATTTTCAGTCTGAGCCAAAAAAAAAAGAAATCATAGAGTAACAGAAATATATGTAAAGAACATGGACAGATTTCTTATAAGGGAAATAAATAAATAAACGGCCAAAAATTATATGAAACTATGCTTGAAGTCACAAGTAATCTGAGATATGTACATTAAGTAATCAAAGTGTACTATTTTTAAATCAGATTGGTAGAATTAAAAATTTCTCTAATTTCCAGTTTTGACAAGGCTATCGAGAATATAATTGTTAGCATTTATTGAGTGCCCACTAATTTCTAGGTATTATGCTTATTAAAAGGAGCCCTGGTGGTGCAGTGGTTAAACACTTGGGTGCTGACCAAGAGGTCAGCAATTAGAACCCACCAGCAGTTCCGGTGGTTAAGCGCTCAGGTACTAATCAAAAGGTCAGTGGTTTGAATCTACCAGCAGCTCCATTGAAGAAATATGTGGCAGTCTGCTTCCATAAAGGTTACAGCCTTGGAAACCCTATGGGGCAGTTCTATTCTGTCGTATAGGATTGCTATGAGTTGTAATCAACTCTACAGCAACGTGTTTGAGTTTTGATTTTAGTGCTTATTTAATACGTGTGCTGTTTCATTTACTCCTTAAACAAACCCTAGGTGGGTCCTATTGTATCCTCTGTATCTTACAGATGAGTAAAAGGAGGCTCCCAGGAAAGTCATTTGCAAGCTTTGCATAACTACTAAGGGGAGAGCTGAGGTTTCAAGATAAAATAATAAAATATCCTGTAAGGGGAAGGATAAAGGCACACGCATGGCAGGGTGTGGCAGAGAATAT